CTCCGTGAGCGCTTTCACGCTGTCCAGATCCTCCGTGTCGCCCTCGGAGGACGAGCCGTCTCCAAGCTCCTTAAAATCCATCGGTGCAGCAGATTGTTGATACACGCTGAGCATTCAGGGAGCAGGCTCGCTTTCTGCGCTGGCAGCTGGGCGATTAGAGCGCAACAGGTCCATGCCTCCTCCTTTATAGGGAGAAATAGCCCAGTGACCGCCCATCCCGCACAGGACAGGGAGGCTGGAGAGTTTGCAAGCTTTTGTCAAACGAGGGAAAAAGATATCCTGAAACCTAACCCCCCAGGATCTTACAGCAAAGTCTGATTATCTGCCTAATAAAAAAATAGATTTTATTACTGTGCATTCACAAGTTAAATGACTTTAAACTATTTAAAATAGTTTTACATTTATATTACAGGAGAAACTGCCAAAAGAAGAAACGATGTATGCATGTATTTCCTGGACATCACGCGTTGATGTGCAGGAATCGCTTTTCTCTTTCTGCTTGCCTTGCTTTGCATTCTGGGGTAGTTTTGATCTAAAAGTGGGTCAATTAACTGCGATTAAATTTTCATCTGCAGTATGAAAATGGAAATAATCCATAATAAATAAAGTACAACAAACGTGCGCTTGGATGTATGAGAAAAATCTATACATACTTACATACTTACACACAGTCAGGTGAAAAAACAAGTTTTCTGTTCAGCTATGTAAAAAAGTAAGTAGCCTACAGGCTTACTGTGCAATTTCCCAACAAATTCCCCTCAAGGTCAGACCAGCAATGCTCAGAAAAACTGCAAAAACCCAGGAGCTCCATCTCAGACTCTACAGGCCCCAGTTAGCATGTTAAAGGTTAAAGTTCATGACAATAAAATTAGAAAAAGACAGGACACCTTGGCTTCTTTGGAAGGGTTGCCAGGAGAAAGCCTCCTCTCTAAAAATAACATGGCAGCACAGCTTAGGTTGGCAAAGTTGCAAATGAACAATCCATAAGACTTCTGGAACAACATCCATTTGTTTGTCCATAACGCAAAGCACCATGTTTGGAGACACCCAAACATAACTTATCAGCCCAAACCCCTTATACCAGCTGTGAGCATGGTGGTGGAAGTGTGCTGATTTGGGCACCTAGCAGTCACTGAGTCAACCGTGAGCTCCTCTGTATACCAATGCAGAATGAAATGTGGAGACATCTGTCCAACAGATAAAAATTGGCCAAAACTGGGTCATGTAACAGGACAATTACCCCAACCACAGCAGCAGAGATACAATGGCTAAAGTGCTAAAAATAAATAAATAATAATAATAATAATAAAAAGCAAAAGAATCAATGTGCTGCAATGATCCAGTCAAAGTACAAAACTCAACCTGACTGAAAAGAGCTGTGCATGAATGAATTCCTGCAAACCTCAATGAGCTGAAGCATCGCTGTAAAGACGAGCGGGGCTAAAACTCTTCCACAGTGATGTGACACGTCGATAAAGTCAAACAGAAAACTGCCAGAGGTACTTCTACAAGCTTCTGAATCATGGGGGTGGAACCCACCATGACTGCATATAAAACTTACTGGATGCATATCTAAACGAGTTATTTTAGGCCTATGTTGCTCACTTTTTTCTTTCATTTTAAAACTTGTTTGTGGTGTGTTTTCTTGCATCAGTGTTCCTGTTTTTATTATTGTGGTTTATGCTGCATGGATTATATTCCCTGGGGCAAAATGTGTGTTTAAATGGATGG